TTATCTAACCTCTGATATACAAGCACCCAGGCCATTCAGGACAATTTTATACCTCCCTGCTACTTGCAGATACTAATTCAGCTACAACCTACAATGTTGCAAAGTTCTGTGCAGCAGCATACAAAATCTGTCAGGGGATGACTAGTCCTAAAAGTTAACTGTGTGTCCAGTAATCATCTTCCCTGAATCTACAATTTGGTGATGGATCTGTGCATTGTATGTTTTTTCCCTGTTTCCCCCTCCGCTCCCTCACCCACATTGCGCTTCAGTAGTTATATTTGTATTTTTAATGTACTAAACGTACCAAGTTTGTATGAAAATGTGATTTCTATTTCCTGTGCTGGTCTATGACCGAAATAAATGATTTGATTGATACCTAAAACACTGTATTGTCAAAGGCTTTCATGGCCAAAATTACTGGGTTGTTGTAGGTTTTTCGGGTTGTATGGCCATGTTCTAGAAGCATTCTCTCCTGACATTTCACCTGCATCTGTGGCAAGCATCCTCACAACCTCTAAGGATGTTTGTCACAGATGCAGGTGAAACGTCAGGAAAGAATACTTCTAGAACATGGCCATACAACCTGAAAAACCTACAACAATACAACAACCCTGTCTAAAACATTCCTTCCAAAGCAAAGAAATAAGGGGAAGAGATTATTAAGGCTGACTGGCACATTACTTGAGATATATTGTCACCAGTGTGGGCAGTTATATACGGGCACAAAATGCGACCCTGTACCAACATGAAACATCTTTGTTTGGACCACATTATGGCCGAACCGGGGTGCTGACAGCCTCCGCTGCAGGACAGTGGCCCCACAGCCCAGTTGGACCAAAATCATTCTCCAAAAGTTCAAGGGCAAGTCTGTACTTCGCAGGGGTGTTCTGTTGTGTAAGCATTGCAATCCACAGTATTTCAAAACTTTGCGGTCAAGTCTAGGTGTAAGATTTATGAATGGGAAGAAAAGGCTATCCATTCCAGATTGCTGACTTATCATTTGTTCAGGTAATAGGAAAAGAGCTACTGTAGTATGCTCATCCCATTTTCCCAAAAGGTTTGTAAAACAAGCAGAACATGACCAAGACGGAAATAACAAACACAGCTGGCATGCTTGTTCTTTTCAAAGAAAGTTCTCTCTTCGCCTATCTACAAAAAGAGTATATTTTCCCAATGATGGATAGGGAATCTGCAACCTACCAATAGTTTTTGGATAAGTCTCCATATCCTTCATTTTTGCTGCATAGGCAAGGGGTGATAGGAATTTCAGTCAAGCATCTGGAGGAACACCCCATTCTAGCTCCTGTATTGAGCCCCCAGTAGTGCAATGGGTTAAACTTTTGTGTCGGCAGGACTGCTCACTGACAGGTCAATCTGGGGAGAGTGCGGATGAGCTACAGCTCCCCGTGTGGGGACATGAGAAAAGCATCCCACAAGGATGGTCAAACATCCAGGCATCCCCTGGGCAACGTCCTTCCAGACGGCCAATTCTCTCACACCAGAAATGACTTGCAGTTTCTCAAGTTGCTCCTGACATGAAAAGAAACCTCCTGCACTAAACCTATTGAATTCTCCCTTAATCTGCAAACACTGGTTCAGATGTTATTTTCATTGCAAAACAAACTATCAGCACATTATTTTACAGCTTTTAACATGGTCCTGAAGCTTTCCTTATGAAAAGCTCTCATAAGAGCTCTCCTGCCCACCCATGTGGACAATTTTGGATCATTTTGGATTTCTGGATTAATAATAATTAATCTGTATATGCTAGAGATAGTTGTTGGATTTTAGCCTTTCTATTATATGAGGCATGGAAAGACCATATTTTCAAACATTAAAAAACCTCTTCTTTATGATGTTTACAGTCGTTACATTGTAGCAAAACAGTCAGAAAAAAGAATAAATGGTTTCCAAATCAATACATAATTTAGTAATTTGAGATTTAAAAACCTGACATTTAAGAAGACTACCTTCACTCAATATAGAAGACATGGTTTCTCCAATGTGTGAGGAACAAACTATTTATCAGTTAATGCTGGAGAGAAGGGATCTTCCATTCTGTTGTGCATGCAGTTTTACATTAAATATGGAAAATCCTTTTGAAGCCTCAAGTGTGATAAGGCTACTCTACTCCAACATGCCCCCGATAAGATAAGAATGACTGTTTTTCCATTCGTTCATTTGTCAGCTGAAGTAGACTTTCAGAAACACAGACCCACAAACTTTAAAAAGTCAAACACCTATTCCATATATGTCTTCCCTGTTAGGAAAAAAGTTTGAAATGCAGCCGACATAATTTCTGTAATCTGTTCAAATGGAAATGCTCTTTCTGGGACCATAAATTGTTGGGTGGGTCTGTATTTAGAAATCTTCACAGTGTCAGCTGCATACATTCATTCAGCTTTAACCTGAATAGAATTCCTGATCACCTTCTAACAATTTCATTACTGTCAGCAAGTCAGTGCAAAGAGAGAAGCACTGTGGTCAGGTTTAACTTGTTTGCAAACTAAATGATGACTCTCGATATCTATTCAGTGGAAAAAGACACTCTTTTTTGTACTTTGCTCTAGACAGAAGACTATGAATAGGTCAATGGGGGCACTTAGGCAGCAAAAAGCGATTGCAAAACCACTGCTAAGGATTTTTTTTTTGCTCTTTTCACATTATCCTTGGAAGACACTGAATACTAACCAAAGTAGAGTATCCCTTACCTGAAATACATGAGACCAGAAGTGTTTTGGAGTTGTATTTGTTGGAATATTTGTATTTACAGAAATAGATATCTTAGAGATGGGAGACTAAAACATATACAGAATTTATTAATGTATCATATTCCCCTTTAAGCATAGCCTGAGGGTAATTTTATATATAGTATTTTTAATAATTTTCTGCATGAAACAAAATGAAGTATCCAAAAGCATACATGTCACTCTTTTGGACACCCATGTGGACAATTTTGGAGCTTTTTTGGATTCCTGGATAAAGAATACTTAATCTGTGTATGCTAAAGATAGCTGTTGGGTTTGTCACAAGGCTGAGGAAGGCACTGTTGCTTTTACTGCTGCTCCTTCAAGGTGAACCGAAGTTTCACCACTATTGAAGCTTCAGTTCCAGCTTTGTCAGAGCCCCCGTTCAATTCAGAGCAGCAATGGAAATATCAAGAGTGCATTTTCTACAAGTCTTGCAGCAAGAGATCTACTGTTTGAGATAAACCTGCTTTGGAAAGCAAGATCTAAGTCAGGCTGAAAACTGGAGCCAGTCCTATTCTGAGGACAAATCAAGAAAAAGTTAAGTCTCCATCCCTCTCAAATCTACACATTATGCTATTTTTTTCCATCAGAATAAAATCACCTACTTCCAAAAATGGAAATATGAAAATCTGTTCAGAACCAGGTTTTATCAAATTCTATTAGCACAATGAAGAGCAAAAATTATACCATGTGGATATAAATTGGTTTCATTTAAAAGCAGGTCATCCCAGGTCAGCTAAGAAACTTGAAAGAATTATCTATCTCTTACATGTTAAACTCAAGGATATGGTTTATAACACATGAAAGCTACTAACAGAAAACCAGTGTAGATCATATCCAGGTAATAAAAGAAGCCTGGGAAATGATATAAACCTGGCAATTTCTGAGGGGAACTGTAGTACATTGTGGTCTGAGCTGCTGTACAAAATTATCTCATCAGCAAGGAAGGAAAATCCACTACAAGAAATAATGTAAGTGGCACTTGGCCCCAATTAGATTACCACCACATCTCTTCAATTTCCTGGAGAATTTGCAAAGACAAAGGCATAATGTCACAGAAGTGGTGTATACACATGTTCATGAATCCTGGAAAAAAATCTGATATGTATTCCCGAAATGAAAAACTAATCAGTAACTTTTGTGGGGCCCTTTTGTTATTATTGCTACTTATGGAAGCAATGACAACTTAATCAGGGACATTGCAGATATCTTCATAGTCGCAACTAAATTGGAAATTGCACAACACTGAAGGCATTAAATTGGACTCTCCTCATGGAAATGATTGGAGTGGGTCTGGAAAGTAACACTCTGGGAAGAACTAACCTATAACAATAAGATCTTAAGAGAGAATAATAACAACTATGGTGGGAAAAACAGATGGCACCCATTTAATTATCCTTTCAAACAAGGACTCTTCTATATATAGACATTCAGTTCTTAAAAACCTTTTGACAACCATCTCCTGAGCAAATGGTACATGACATTATACCCAAAACATCTGGGTTGATTTATGAATGAGTAAAATAAGTATTGGACCTTAACTCTTATTGTAAAAGGAACTATTCCTTTCTCTGAAAACAGTAACACAAAGTAAAAGCTTCGTATATCCCAGGAGAATCTAAAAGAAGCCTACTCTCTTTGCCACTATGTCACTTCTGACCTTTTTGGGTGCCTGGATAAGCAAAGATATTTTTGAATGCCTAGGTGGGAAAATAGCAGTGGCAACCAGGAACGGCTAACCATCTGAAATGATGCTTTCCCCTCTTCATGAAATGAGCCCCAACTCAACAACTAGTCATTTCAAATTCCATATTTTTATCTCCAAAACCTACCCTCAACTTATACATGGGGTTGATTTATACACAAGTATATATGGTAGTTGTTAGATAAGATCTTGACTTGCACATAAGTTTAAGAAGCAAGACTGTATCAGAGATTCTGGTATGCCAAACACTTATTTACTTATCTTTATTTTCTGTATATTTCTTTACTACCTTTGTTAACATATTAACTGTATATTGAGTGTATTACAAAAAAGAAACAATTCTAGTATCAGTTCTAATATGCTTCAAGGGAAGGCCACCGTGGGTTTCTCCTGAGTGCTGTTAGAGCTTCATGCAGCTCCTCCAATACACAGCAAGATTGCTTTTGCCCACTTTACCGCCACTTATCAAACCAAAAACGCTCTGCACAGCAAATGACATCCAAGTAATTAGCAGGGTGAACGATGCTATACTTTGGCAAAATTACCTGAAGCACGGAGGAGTGTTGTATAATGAGGCATTCTCCACTTGCACTTTGTAGTCCAACACTATAGGGCATTCCTTCAGCGCATGGCCAATTAAATCCTCACGCACAATTACCACCGTTACGCCAGCACATCCTATGTTCTTCTGAGCACCAGCAAAAATTACTCCAAACTTTATATGGGGAGCAGAGGTAGTGAGGAAAGAAATAAAATAGACATTGCACTCATGAATGCATTTATAAATTGCAATTAGGGGTTATATTAATCAATGAGGAAAACATCTTAGCTAAGGACTGGGGAAGCATTGGATTCCAGATGCTTTGGGCTACAACTTTCAGAGCTCCTTACCACTGGACATGCTGCCTAGAGCTTCTGGTAAGTAAAGTTCAAAACCTCTGAAGAGCCAAAAACATATCCCTCTGTCAGAGATATGAGGTACCCAAGGGAATGTCGCTTGTATGGATTGGGCTAAGAACTTCAGGAGAAGCCAAAAGGCTATTCATAGTTCGTATAAAGATTGCTGCTGTTTATTTCCTTTGATATTGATAGATTCCTTTGTGTCAGGAAAAAGGATGTACAGTTAGACCCCTACATTTGTGGATGTAATTTTTGCGGATTTGATTATTCATATATTTGATTAATATGTTCTCTCTAGGAATCTCTTCATCCTTCAGGATGATTCTATAGTGAACTTTGCCAGAAGTTGGTCAATTGGTTAATATGTTCTCTCTAGGGGGGAAAATAGCTGTTAAAAAAATGCCCAACTCAATGTCGACCTAAGCAGTTCAAAAACAGCTATGAGCTGTGAGTAGAGAAATTAGACACCGCTTAAAAGCGGGGAGGCTAATTTATGACACCATAAAAATGCCAGAGACCAAGGAGGAAATAGTACAATCAAAAAGGGTCGGCATCATAGTGAAGGAAGCAACAGCTCACCCTGTGGCCAAATCGAGCAACCTCCAGGAGGATTGGAAGTGGAAGCACTGCTGAATGAATGGCCTCTATCTGTCTGTATATCCTGTATGTCAAAAATGGCATTGAATGTTTGCCATGTATATGTACATTGTGATCCGCCCTGAGTCCCCTTCRGGGTGAGAAGAGTGGAATATAAATAATGTAAATAAATAAATAAATAAATCTTTCAGCATGACTCTATAGTTAACTTTGCCAGAAGTTGGCCATAGAGATATCTATAGACTCATGCTGGGGAACCTAGAGATTTCCTAGAAATAACACTTCTGTAGGCATTTATGTCTTCCAGAACAATTCTGTTGGAAGTGTTGCACTACAGAGTTCCACTGGAGGACCTGGGGTCATGCTTCCCAACTTTTTTTTGACCAGGGACCACTTTGACCAGGAACCACTCTCCAGGTTATGAATCAGTTTTTTGTCAACTTTAGATTTGGTTTGGTTATTTGGGGTGCTAATTCAGAAAATTGCATTGGCTAGACCACATCAATTCTAGTTTCTGATACAGAGCATATGCCATCCAGTAGTCGCCATCTGCTCAGCCACAGAAAACCATATTTAATAAGCCTCGGCACTATAAGAGGGTTTCGTGAGACCAGTCACTCTCATTGCAACAGTGTAGTAACGGTGAGGTCGCAGACCATATTTCAGTTCTTACAGACCACAGGTTGGGATCCATTGACCTAGGGATTCCTATAGAGGCATTATCTTAAGTTTTAAAAATATGTTTTTATTCACTTTTTCATGTTCATGGGAGTACTGCACCCTTAAGCCCAAAGAATTTGGAGAGGTCACTGTACAATGAAGACTGAAAAGGACCACACTTATACCACTCATAAATATTACTGGCAAGCCAAGGAACATGCCAGCATTCACAGTAAATGTGGAAAACAATTGCCAGCTTACGGTGCATAGTGTACATGTTCAAAACAGCCATAATCTTGTAGTACTTTCAACGAAGTTACTGGGATTTAACTTGATGATCCTAACCAAGTACATGTTATTTGCACTCATCACTGAACTCTGAAATGGTAGGGAATACAAGCAGCTGCTTACTGCTTCAAAGAAGCTAAACCTTTTTATATTATTATTTTTAAAAGACAACATAGGTTTATGTCCAAAGTCTCAAAATGTTAAGTGGAGATGAGACTTAAGAGGCACAAAAAATGCAGGAACATGAGAAGTGACGCATAATAGGGGACACTGAAATAGTTATTGGAAGTTACAGATCCCAGGATATTTTAGAGAGAGGACTGAAACCACATAGAAAAAACTGTGTAACACAGGTATGCCCTGATGTTCCTAAAGGTATTAAAGGAATTGGCCTCAGTGACCCAATATACTAGGTCACACTTTGCAAACTCTGCTCTTCGAAATCTTTACCTTAGAGACATCCACCGGTCTAGAGAGGAAGTTTGAAGACATATCGGAAACCAGGACTGTCTTCCCAACATCGGGTGCAAAGTCAAACTCCACACCATGGACCGTCTCATTTGCACAATAATAGACATAAGAGGCATCTGGGTTAAGGTTCCAAGTGCTCGGGTCAGGGATTTCTAAGGCAGATAAGATAACAGACAGAGATATAAGGTTCAGTAGACTCAGCAAAAGAAAGTGTATGCAGTATGTCTTAAACAGTGAACTTTGACAGCGACTTCAGTTCTGCACATTTCTTTTGCTTTGCCAGCAAAATCGATTAAAGTTTGGACTTATTAAAGAGGGGGAAACTGCTATTGTTAAACAAGGAAAAAGAGGAAGATGAAAAGTAACATTGTACATGACTTAGAAGGAGGTGGTAATGCTCGCTGGCTTTTGGATGCCAAAAGAGGCTATCATTATAAATGTCATTAACATGAAAATCAAAAACTAATCTGCAACTTAATATAATTTTAGGCTTCTTAATCAATTCTCTCTCTCTTTACACAGAGAAAGATGGAATTGCAACCATTCACTATGACACAGATGTTATCCAACATAACCGTTTTGGAGTCAGATGAAGGGATCCAACAGGATGGTTTCCCTCAGGGGAAAAAGCTAAAGCTGCTTTAAGTCTCAATCAAGAGAGAAAAGCAGAATATAGTAATACTAACATCAACAACAACAACAACAACATCAACAACATGGAGGACAGCATGCAGCAGGAATAGAAAGTCTAGCCATTGATATCCTCTGGCTTGATGCTGGGTTTAGGCCTTGATATTTCCTGTTCATGCATCTAAGCACCAACAGTGAACTAACAATAACTGTCATAATGTGGGAGTTGCACTTTATACACACAGGCCCTATTGAAATACATAAACTTTGCATACTACAGGAACATGCCCTACTATGCATCAGTAGAATGATACGTTCTATGCCTATACTTCTCAGTAATGTATGAAAACATCCTTAAAATATAACAATTAGGACAGGCATCCTGCCCCAGATGTGATGTTTCAATTGTTCACTGTATAACAACTCTTCATAGAAATATATTCATGTGTATTTAAATATGTGTCCCGTATTTAAGATTTATTTCCCACACAGCATGCCATGATGACCATATTTCACAACTTCAAAGAAACTTAATGTTTCTTGGGCATTTTTGCATCATTCATAAAGAAATATTCTGTGTGTCTGAAAAGCTTCCAAAGGTGAGAAGAATCAGTAATAAGGCAATACCCAATGAAAGATTTTATTCTTTCACCTATTTGCTTTGTTTTGAATAACAGTGTTTTCTTGGTCAGAGACAAACAGATAACTCTTTGAATTATCACTTCTGCAGCCTAAACTCCCTTTTCTAAAAATCCTGAAGATGATAAAATCTTGCAGCTTTAAGAAAAACTATGAGTCTGTGCAAGCCAAAGAAAGTCAAAGATTCAGCACTTTGTTTTCATGGCAATAACCATGCAACTGGCATATACTTGCATTCATGCTCTGCTTTACAGGATTGATTACAGTTTGGAAATAAAAGCAGGATAGAAGAAAGCAGACGCTTCTGGTAAAAAGCAACAGAAGGGCCACAGAGCTGTGGAAAAAGCTGACATGTCACTCCAAAATAGCAGAAAGAACCCCTGCCAAATCTGGCTTTGGAAGTATTGTTTGCTCTGTCTCATGCTTTTCTCTGCAACTCTGATGTCTAAATATTCTAGTGAAGGGACAAAAGATACTCTAAAATATATCAAATGCAGGAATCTATGTATTTGTTTTAGGAACAAAACAAGATGCTTTTCTTTATGCAGTAAGTTGTCGCAATTTCTAATTAGTCCTGACCTAGCACTCTTGTCAAACTGCACCACAGTTCTGATCCTAATCTCCATGTACTAATTTTCCCACACATTTCAGTAGCTGTTTTTTTTTCCTCTCCAATGCACAACTGCACTCTAACCCATTCCATTTTTTCTTAGTTTAGACTGCCAAATAAAGCAATCTGAACTGCATTATATGGTCAGCGTAGACCCATATAATGCAGTTCAAACTGCATTACTTGACAGGGTATATTCAGCCTTAGACAATGTGTTTCTTACACACTGTTTGTATAGGGCCATATATTTCACACTGTTTTATTAAATTATGCAAAGCAGATAAAAAGAAATAAAAATAAGCTTATAATAATGAGTACATGTCAAGATTAAAGTTAACTCACTTGTATAACTAGAGAGTTTAGGATGAACAAGGTTGACCTTGCCATATTTCTCTGCTTCCTTGGCTGCCTTTGCTGACCATGCGCCGGTCACAACATAATCGGCACACCTTGCTTCTTTTAATCCAATAAGATTTAGTGGAATGCCACTAAATTGTCCGGACCCACCTCCTTGGAGAAATATCACTTTGTAATTTTCTGGTATCTTGCTGTGAAAAAGAAGAATGAACCAAAAATAAGTATTAATTATTATTTATAACAATATAGTACTTTCCCCATTTTGTTGTTATTCATATCAGGTAGAGAAAGCCTCCGTTTTAGGAGATAGTAAAAAGAGTTTCAACTGCTCTGCTAATTCAAAGTGGAAATAATGTAGTTCCTTCTCATAACATCAACATAACAAAAGATTCACTAAACATAAGTTATCTTCTCCCAAGCTAACAACAAACATTAGAGTTAAAGCAGCGCACATACAATTCCACACCTGTTCTTAATCTTGAATGAGTACTGACAATAGTAACATCTATTTATAACCAGCTAGAGATGAGCTTTGTGATAGTCCACAAAATTATAATGAAGTGTGGAATTTAACCATTCAAGATTTCCAGGGTCCACTGCAGAAGCTGACAATTCATTCTAGGCAAGGTTCATGCCAAAGTATAGTAGTTATGCCCACTTTGGCATGGTCAAGGTAGCATTATAGGGATGCTAAAAGCTTTGGGATATATATCTCCTACCCCTAGGTATGATAAAAAGCATTATGGAACCCTAGGGATGACCCTGGCCTCTGCATTCTCTGCAAAATATCCAATCCTGACAGCACTTAGCAAAAATATACCTCTTGAGTGGGTGAATATTATTTTGGTAACCCTGTCCAGCCTCCAAAATATCCATAGGGATTTTAAGCTATACCAGAAAACCAGCTCATACATTCTGAGTGTTTGGAACAACTATCATATAAGAATGTCGGGCTCATTTGACACAGCTGAATAAAACCCCACATTATCTGCTTTAAACTGGAATATATGGCAGAGTGGACCGATAACCCAGTTCAAAGCAGATATTGTGGGATTTTTTGCCTTGATATCCTGGGTTATATGATTGTGTGGAAGGGTCCTCAGAGACTGCCTTGCACTGAGTGAGCCTTGGTTCCTTTAGTCCAGGGCTCTTCCACACAGCCCTATATCACAGAATATCAAGGCAGAAAAACCCACATTATCTGAGTGTGGACTCAGATAACCCAGTTCAAAGTAGGATTTCAAACAGGGTTTTTTACGGCTTCCACCTGTATAGTATTCTCTGCTGGTCTCCAGGTCCTACAGGCTAACTTTAGAAATCAGATGATATTGGGTGTATTTATGATAGAATAGTAGTGCTAGGTAATATGTCCATAATTAACATTTGATCACAGAAGTGACCCAAAGCAATGCAAAAAAAATAGTTTCTGCCCCAGCCAGTGCCCAGGGTCTCCTGCCTAAAAAGGAGACTTACTTGGAAGTATCCATCCATGTATTCAGGTTATATCACAAATAGCTGATAGTCAGGCCCAGTCTTGATTTGTTTTTTCAGAGTAGGCTAAGACCTGCATTTTTAATCTTACTATATTCTCTCAATGAGTTCTGCAAAGTTGACTTTGACTCATATACATTCTTGCTAACTAACATGGTTATATATTGATAGAGGATTAAGGTAAAAAGATGATAAGGGGAAAAATGACCAGAAGCTTTCCAAAGTTAACAGGCATGGCTCTGTGGTCCCCATGTTGCATTAGGACCACAGGAAGCTCCCCTTCTTTCCTGCCCCATAGTCATTTCAAGTGTTCATGATATATCATGATCTTTTCTTTCCCAATGGTTCTATTTAAGTTATCTTTCCCCCCAATGTTGTTTTGTTCTTGAAAAATATTAATTTGGGTCCAATATGAGTCATGTCTGTATTACATTTCAATTCATGTGGTGCACTTGTGATTACTAACTTCTTTACCACTGATTTCAACAGAAAGAGTAACTTCTGTCCCACTTATTTTTAATGGAAAGTGGTTTCAAATCTAGTATAGCATGGATCAAACCAGTGGTGCTGGTAAATTATTACAATATTAGCACAAAGCACGTAGTCTTTAAAGAAATACTGTAAAGGTTAAAATTACAATGAAACCTGAACTGTATATGTTGGGGATGCTAGATGACCAATTAGAAAAGAAACATGGAGGACTACTATTATACATGATTACAGCAGCAAGAATCATCTATGCCCAGAGATGGAAAGAACCAGATATACTGACGGAAGAAGATTGGCTGATGAAAATATGTGGATTAGTGGAGATGGACAAATTGACAATGTTGATTAAGGAAAAATCCTTGATGAAAATCAAGAAAGACTGGGTCATATTGATTACTTTCCAAGTTCTCTGTCATTAGTTTTCCATTTATCTGACAGACATGCTGCATGCTTATTCTTTTAATATAGATTTTTAATGCAAAGGTGGAGACGATCTTCAACCATTGGTTTTCTGATGTAGAAGATTGTTATTAAAAGTAGAAAGGTAGTAATAAAGTAATACTTTAAGGGACCAATAAATAAGAAGTTAAAATCAACAGGCAACAGGCTGGAGGCTTATAGATTCATTTAGTAGGTGTTTGCTTAGAAATCTGTATACATTGTACGTTGTAGATAAAGGTGTATTAGTTACTTTTGTACACAATGGAAAATTGTTTTTAACAGTAGTTTTAATTTCATTTTGTGCTGTAATATTTTGTGTTTTTTTCTTTGCTTGTAACTTTGAATAAAAATCATTTTTAAAAACAGTACAGCCTATTTCTAATAGTTAATTCCAGTTGAATCAGGTATAATGAATGAGTGCATGTTATATACAAGTCTCATTAGTTCTCTGGGTCCACTTTAGTTGTGACTAATGAGTGGATTGAGTCCTATAATAGGAATGATAACTGAATCAGTTCATAAATGAAGCTATTCTAAAAGCACAAAATGTTTAGCATTATTTCCATATCAATGAAGGAAACACTTTCAACTTCTATAAAGGAATCTCTCATGCTGGTGTGGGGGGGGGGGAACTGTTCTAGAGCTATAATGTTATCAAAAGGAAGCCTTTTATGGTGTCAATAAAATTTAAAAAACAGTAACTCACAGAAGCTCCCGCAAGCAATTTTCAGCTGCTTTGATGATTTTTGAGAAGTCAGACGTTCTGTGACTCATTTCTAGGACAAAAGAAATAAATTAAGCACACTACAATAAAAACCATATGACATACAAACAAAAATAATTAATTTGAAGTATCAAAGACAATATGGAGCCTGAAGTAACTCCTTTTTAGGGGCCTTACTGCAGACCTCAGAGTTTCAGCCCTGCTCCCCATGTCATCATACGCATCAGTGACTTCACTGAATACACACTGCCTCATATCTTTTAAGGGAGGTCAGAAGATCTGTGCTATAGGAAATGCATTCACACAGAAATACCATTACTGCACTTAAGTAATCATAAGTAATGGGGCTGTGGTGGCACAATGGGTTAAACCTTGTGCTGCTGAACTGCTAATCTGAAGGTTGGCAGTTCGAATCCACAAGACAGCATGAGCACCTGTCTGTAACCTCCAGCTCCTGCTAACCTGGCGGTTCGAAAACATGCAAATGTGAGTAAATAGGTACAGTTTCGGCAGGAAAAGGCAAAGAGACAATCCAAGCAATCTTGCCGGCCACACAACCAGGAAGTAACAACGGAGGCTCTTTGGCTTGAAAATGGAGAAAAAAAGCACCTCCCCTAGAGCCAGAGATAATCACTGCATCCAGAAGCCGAAAATGAAAGAAACCTCTGCTTTCGTGTTTGTGTGTCTCATTGTATATTATTGTAAAGGCATTGAATGTTTGCCTATGTATGTAAATGCTGTAATCCGCTCTGAGTCCCCTAGGGGAGAAGGCCAGAATATAAATAAAGTATGTCACAAAAAACAATATTTATATGCTGGATTTCATATAAAAAAATCACAAGTCGAACACTTCCCAAGCGTCTAGAACTGTGTGATGTATTTTTGATTGATGCACGCAGATTCAAGTAAGGTGGTCTTTTGCAGTTGACAGATCGTGATTTTGTTGATGTTTATTGTTTCCAAATGCCGGGTGAGATCTTTTGGCATGGCACCCAGTGCGCCAATGACCACTGGGACCACCTGTACTGGTTTATGCCAGAGCCTTTGCAGTTCAATTTTGAGGTCTTGATAGCAGCTGAGTTTTTCCTGTTGTTTTTCCTCAATGCGACTGTCACCTGGTATGGCAACATCAATAATCCAGACTTTTTTCTTTTCCACAATTGTGATGTCCGGTGTATTGTGTTCCAAACTTTGTCAGTCTGGATTTGAAAAGTGTATTATTATTATTAATAATAATGTTATTGTTATTGATATTATTATTAAGTGAATAGAGCAGCCCATTCAAGACTGAGGGCTCTATGTGTACCCACCTCAAGACTAAGGCTTCTTATATCCATTAGGAAATTCCTAGATCCGGATCAAAGTTTCAGTCTGTTACAACTATTATAGGACTAGGATAGAACAGGCAGCTTATCCCAATGTGAAGTTCTTCGTGACCTTCCAGTTTTCAGAATTTTGATCTATGGTCCACATAGGCTGAGACTGATGGAAACCAAATGCCAAAAACACCTGAAGATGCTGTTTTGCAGTACGGGTGGAAGGCTAAACTGGACCAATACCAAAACCGAAGGATTAATCTGATTGGTTGACTATGAATCAATCAGGCTCTTCCAGGCACACATTTTTCACAGACTTGTTATTTTAAAAAAAATGGGATAATATCACAACTACCAAAACACACAGTGTATGGTGTCCTGTGCAAAACATGTGGAACAAAAATATGACACAGATGTTTTAATTCCTATTGGATTTTAACTTGAAATCATTGCTAAATCTAACATTACTTTTAGTTTATTGAAGTTGATTTTTTATGTCAACCTCAAATCAGTATACTGGCCAATATGTATTTCTGAGAAAATATTTCAAAATACAGATTTTTTTAAAGATAGTTTGAAACTACAAACATCAGGAATAAATTGTATAGTGTTTATGTCTTTCTTTCTGTTTAAAACACAAATTTTAAATCCCCTTAAAAGGCATCTAGAATTAACATGATATCTTACCAAGAACACTAATGCCAAGGCCTTTATAATCCACCAGATCTTTCTGGGCATCTAATAATACCTGCAAAAAAGATAAATTCATCATAGCTGAACACATGCCAATAGCAAATTACACACATTTTACACACTATACTTTATACTATAGTGACAATCGTGTAGCCTCTAGCTATTTCTGGACTGCAATGTCCAATAGCCCTAGCCAACACAGGAAATAATGAGGAATACTATGAGTTGCAATTCATCAAAATCTAGATGATGACATGATTTCCACTCCTGTTTTAAAATATAAATACACACAGTATACCAGGCAAAGATGTGAATGTTAAACCACTGAGCTACTGAACTTGCTAACTGAAAGGTAGGCAGTTCAAATCTGAGCAGGGTGAAATCCTGCTGTCAGCTCCAGCTTCTGCCAACCTAGCAGTTCAAAAACATGCAATTGTGGGTAGATCAATAGATACCACTTCAACGGGAATGTAATGGCACTGGTCAAATGACCTATGTGTCTAAGGAAATGCCAGCTCTTCAGCTTAGAAATGGAGATGAGCAGCACCCCACAGAGTTGGACACAACTAGACTTAATGTCAAAGGAAACTTTTACATTTACTATCAAGACAGAAACATAACTATGCCAGGTCAAGGGATGCAATTTCGTAGCTTTACTGTGACTAAGAAAGTGGTCTTATCGATCATCTGGTCCTTTTTAGGGGGTATACCCGAGATATCAGAGACCAAGACTGGGAACTTCTGTAGGCAAATTTATTTTCTTTCATTAGAGCTATTGTACTTCTGCATTCTATTTCTGATAGGAGCTTAATTGTGCTTTTAGCTAACTACAGACTCTGCATACAAGAAAGACAAATATGTCATTAGAACTTTCCCTAAGGATTCATGACACCATGGAAAAGGTTTTTTAAACTGCAAAAACTTGGTTTTTGTGGGACGTTCTGCAACATGTTTTGCTATAATTTTTCAATGACTATCTCACAGAGTTTCAACCAATTCAACATAGTTCTTGACAGCCACAAAAATGAAGTTTGTGGAGTATAACAACGACTTTCAAAATATGTATCATGCACTTTCAAATAACACTTTCAAACAGGAACAGAAATAACACGTTCAAACCAGGAACATAATTTTTTTTTCAAAATGTTGTTACATAGTGTGATACAATTTTGCCCTTGGGAATTTCAACATAAGAGTCCTATTTCTAGAGTTCTGTTCTTGTTGTTGTTGTGTGTCTTCAAGTCACTTCCAACTTGATCGCAACTTGATAGGTTCTACCATGGCATTTTCTGGGGCTGAGAGTATGTGACTTGCTAAATGTCACCCAGTGGGTTTCCATGGGAAAGCGGGAAATTGAATCCTGGTCTCAGATAATGGAATATACTATTAGGAAGACAATGGCTCATGTTCCATTTCCTTTCACTTTTTGAGTAAAAATTATCATTATGTAAGGTATTTGGAACATTTTTTTTCTTCAATTTCACCATTCGGATAGCCATTTTTAGACAATTAACAAGAGATTACGTTACCACCACGTTTTCAGAAACTGGATCTTGCATACTGCTAATATTGGGCATTTTATTTTGAGTGAAAATCTTAAAAATATTGGCATTTCTACACATTTCTATTTCGATATGTTTACGTGTAAGTCTTGTGAAATGTCAAAGTTTCTTCGCTGATAAGAAAATCTACCTAACAGAATAAGACTGTGCATAAAAACCTTCTTTATATAAGGCACTTCTAGACTTGTCACATAATTCAAATTAATGAATCAGATAATCTACATTATCTTCTTTGAATTGGGTTGTATAAGTCCACACTGCCATATAATCCAGTTCAATACAGACAATCTGGATTATATGGCAATGTAGAAGGGGGCTAAGATTACAAAAATGGTATCCAAAGAGATACTGGGGGGAAATGTTAAGAGCGGCTCTGTAATTCAAAATGATATTAGAACTTAAGGGTAACATCATCATAAATAGCAAACCTGGGCCCCTTCCACACAGCTGAATAAAATCCCATGTTTCTGCTTTGAACTGGAATATATGGCAGTGTGGACTCAGATAACCCAATTCAAAATAGATACTGTGGGATTTCCTGCCTTGATATTCTGGGTTATATTGCTGTGTGGAAGGGCCCTGAGTCTAAGCAATATGCAACAATGATTAAATTGCTTAAAACTGCTTAGGCACACAGTTCTTAAAGAAAGCTGGAAAACTGGATATATCCAACAGAAGCCACACCTCTTCCAGATGTGATTGGATTGAGGCAGCTGCTGATGCAATCTCCTCTAGAGATGTCTACAGCATGCAGAGTATTGATACGATTCTACAGTCTGAGTAAAACTATCTGACATTAAAGTAGTGTGCCCTTTAAGATTATGTTCTGCCCTACATATTCACAAAGGTTTCATTCATTAACAGAAGACAATGGGTTCTTTAAATCCTCATCCCCAGAATGCACACACAAAATGGATAAGACTGCTGCCGTTCTCACAGCTTCAAGCAAAATATTCTATATTCTGGCTTTCTGAACTGGAGAAACAGGAAAACCAAAAGCCTTTTCTTGGAATGGAGACTCCTGGCTTGAGAGCAGTACATGTGAAAAAGTTTTTGGCCTGCATCAATAAGAGTACAGTGTCTATATCCAGGGAAGCCATGCTACCCCTCTATTCTGTCTTGGTCAGACCACACCTAGAATCATGCTGTGTCCGATTCTGGGCACCACAATTGAAGGGAGATGTTGACAAGCTGGAAAGTGGGGAGGGTGGTGGGGGGGGGGGGGGGGGGTTGTGGGGGTCGGTCCCCAGCTGGTTATTGGAGGGGTTTGGAGGGGGGGGGGGTGGGGGGGGGGGGGGGTGGTTGGGGAGGGAGTTGTCCAGTTCTGGGCACAATTGAAGGGAGATGTTGACAAGCTGGAAAGTGTCCAGAGGAGGGCGACTAAAATCATCAAGAGTCTGGAGAACAATCCCTATGAGGAGCAGCTGAAAGAGCTGGGCATGTTTAGCTTGAAGAAGAGAAGGCTGAGAAGAGACATGACAGCTGTCTATAAATATGTGAGGGGAAGTCATAGGAAGGAGGGAGCAAGCTTGTTTTCTGATGCTCTGGAGACTAGGATGTGGAAAAAGGGCTTCAAACTACAGGAAAGGCGATTCCATCTGAACATCAGGAAGAACTTCCTAACTGGGAAAGCTGTTTAGCAGTGGAACTCTCTGCTCTGGAGTGTAGTGGAGGCTCCTTCTTTGGAGCCTTTTAAACAGAGGCTGGATGGCCATCTGTAGAGGTTGCTTTGAATGTGATTTTCTTACTTCTTGGCAGGGGATTGGACTGGATGGCCCATGAGATCTCTTCCAACTCTAGGATTCTATAATTCTAGGACAATTAAAGAGAGAGGTATATATCTGTGTTTTCCAATACACCGCCTTTCCAGCTTCTCCTGGCCAAAGAATTATTATTATTATCATCACCATAATCATCTTGTTTTATCTATTAGCACTGAGATGAAAAGTAGCTTACATTTAATATATTGTTAAAAGCTTTCATAGCCAGAATCACTGGGTTGTTGTGCGTTTTCTGGGCTGTATGGCCATGTTCCAGAAGCATTCTCTCGTGACATTTCACCTTTATCTATGGCAGGCAAGTGTGTATGTTGCAATTGATCACCTTGATTAGCATTTAATGGCCTAGCAGCTTCAAAGCCTGGCTTCTTACTACCTAGGGGAATTCCTTTGTTGGGAGGTGATTAGCAGGTCCTGATTGTTTCTTGTCTGGAATGCCTCTGTTTTTTGAGTGTTGTTCTTTATTTACTATTATGATTTTAGAGGGTTTTTAAAATACTGATAGCCAGATTTTGTTCATTTTCATGGTTTCTTCCTTTCTCTTGAAATTGTCCACAGCTAATCACCTGTTGACAATTTCAGCTAAGCAAAACTCGAAAATCAGGACAGTAAATAAAGAACAACACTCAGAAAACAGGGGCATTCAAGATAGGAAACAATCAGGGCCAGTTAACACCTCCCAAAATGGATTCCCCCAGCCAAGAAGCAGCCAGGCTTTGAAGCTGCAAGGCTACTCAATGCTAATCAAGCTGGCCAATTGCAACATTCACACTTGCCTCAAACAGACAAAAGTTCTTTCTTTCACCCTGGACTTTCGACAGATATATAAACCCCGTTTTCCTAGTTTCCAAGAGACCACATAATGCCTGTCATAGAAGTGGATGAAATGTCAGGAGAGAATGCTTCTGGAACATGGCCATACAGCCCAGAAAACTCCCAACAACCCAGTTCACATTATGCAATTTGAAATCCACAACATCCAAAAGTATGCCCCTTTGAATCCCTGGAAGGCAAAGCAGAAACGATGGGAGACAAGGAGAAGAAAGAGAGAGGAAAGACCCTGCAATGCAGGCATCTGCCTTGACAGATGTTTGGGGACGTCCTTGAGAGTGAAGTGTGTGCCACTCATTTACCTTTCAGAAGAGCTTAAAATGCTCCTTTTCGCACCAAGTTTGCACCTTTAAGAAAGGCAATAACACATTTTTTTTCTCCCCAAGACAGAAATCAAAAAGAAAGAGAGAAAGGGAGGAAAGCTGGGAATATCAGGGTTGTTGCTGCGTGCTTCAAGTCATTGGACTTATGGGGAGACCAAGGCAACCTCATCCCGGCCAGATGTGTTCAGATGTGCCAGATGAGGCTGAGAGTGTGACTCGCCCAAGGTCACATGCCAGCTTGGTCCATGTCCAAGGCGAAGCAGCCCAGCAAAGAGGAGAGCTAAAGGACAACCGGAGAAGGGAAACCGCCTTTTAGAAAGCGACCCCAAAGTCCCAACGCCCATTGCAATTCTCTCCACGCTCAAGCACCGTCTCCAGGTGTAATCTTTGTCTAAAGTTGCGTCTACACTGTGGAATGAATGCACTTTGACACCAGTTTGGTTGCCATGGCGATTTTGCAGCTTGGTGAGACGCATCAGCATGCTTTGTAAGAAACTACAACTTCTATGTTTTCATAGCATTGAGCCATAGCAACTAAAGCGGTGCTAAACCGCATTCACTCTGCAGTGTAGATGCACTGGAGCCAATCTCAAGTACTTACCGCCCGTGGCAATTTAGCGGGTCCCGCGCCGAAGTTGACCACATACTTTTTGCCGTCCATGGTTTCCGCAGCCGAACCGAATTCCCGCTTCGGATTCCCTTGGCCAAAAGAAGCTCCGATTCCTCGAGTAGCAGTAATAGTAGTAGCAGCGCCTCTCTGCAACAATTGCAAAGGCTCCCTAATCAGGAGGCGCGCTCGGCGGCCCTGCGTCCCCATTGGCTGGCCCAAGAGGGGTGTGGCAAGGACGGCGCTCCGATTGGCCGGCGCTTTCCAGCCGCCTCTTGCCATTGGCCCCAGGGCCACGAGGAGGCCGCGTGATCGCCCCATCCTTAAGGTAGAACGAGGGGTTGGCAAAGCGAGACGCTGGATCCACGGCACTTTCGCGGGCACGAAGGCGGCAGCTCCCGTGGGCGCTTCCGAGGGCAACCAACCTGGTTCTGGGCGTTTGAGCTGTGCCTCCCTGCAATAAAATGGAGGAAGAGGAAGGGTGGACTTTGGGACAGAGAGAGAGAGGAAGGCAGGGCAGGGCGGGGCGCAGATCAGAGCCAGGCAAAGGGGGAAGCAAGGGCGCTTCGACACTGGAGAAACAAGGCAGCTCAGTGCCACTTTCACTGCCAGGGCTCAAGGATGTGGAATCCTGAGAACTGTAGATTAGAGATCCAATTGTAGATCTCTATAGATTAAACATGGGGCAACTCTTGGGCCTTCCAGGTGTTTTGGACTCCAACTCCCACCATTCCTAACAGCCTCAGGCTTCTTCCTTTCTTGCACCAGCACTCCTTGGTAGAGAAAACGAAAGACCTTCTCAACCAGGCCTGGGTAAACTTGAGCCCTCCAGGTGTTTTGGACTCCAACTCCCACCATTCCTAACAGCCTCAGGACCCTTCCTTTTCCCCCTCAGCCGCTTAAGGTCATGAGGGAGGGGGCAGATCTGATCTCATTAGGGAGGGAGTTCCATAGCAGGGGAGCCACCCCTGAGAAGGCCCTGTCTCTCATTTCCACCAAACCAACTGTGATAGTAGTGGGACCGAGAGCAGGGCTTGTCCACACAATTTTAAGGTCCTTGGGGGTTTGTAGAGGGACAGGTAAGCTGGACTGGAGCCGTTTAGGGTTTTATAGGTCAAGGCCAGCACTTTGAATTGTGCTCAGAAGCGAATAGGCAGGGGATTGTATGTTCCCTGTGCTTGTTTTGAAAGTATTTGTTATACTCCAGAAACTTTTTTATACCTGCCACAGACTATGTTGAATTGGTTGAGACCCGATGAGATATTCATTGAAAAACTATAGCAAAATGTGCTGCAGGGTGTCCCGCAAAAACAAAGTTTTTGCAGTTAACTAAACTTTCCCGATGTTTTTATGATACAGCCAATTAGGAAATGACATTTATAACCCAGGAACAACAATTGTGTCCCATAGTGTAATGGGACTTGAACATCCACAGATTAGCATCCACAAGTTGTCCTGGAATTAAACTGCAGATCCCAAGGTTTTGCTGTATACACACATACATATTATTGTGAAAATAAATTGAGACTATTTAAAAACTAATTAGGAAGGACATTAAAAACAGAACAAAGCATGCCATTAAAAGCCCATTGCAGACAATTCCCAAAAGCCTATTAGGAAAGTTTTCAATTGCTGGGAGAATGAGAGCAAGAAGGATACTATCCTAGGGTGCATCTACACTGTAGTATTAATGCAGTGTGATGGCACTGTAACTGCCAAGGCTCAATACTATGGAATTCTGAAGTCTGGTAAGACACTAGCCCTCTAGGGCAGAGAAGGCTAAAAACCTTCTCCAGGGGCTCCATAGCATTGAGTAATGGCAGTTAAAGCTGTGCCAAACTGTATTCATTCTGCTGTCAAAGGCTTTTATGGTCAAAATTACTTGGTTGCTCTGAGTTTTCCAGGCTGTATGGCCATGTTCCAGAAGCATTCTCTCCTGACATTTTGCCCACATCTATGGCAGGCATCCCCAGAGGTTGTGAGGTCTGTTGGAAACTAGGCAAGTGGGATTTATATATCTGTGGGATAGTGTCCAGGATGGGAGAAAGAACTCTTGTCTGTTTGAGGTGTGGATGTTGCGATTGGCCAGTTTGATTAGCATTGAATGGCCTTGCAGCTTCAAAGGCTCACTGCTTCCTGCCTGGTGAACCCTTTGTCGGGGGTGTTAGCTGGCCCTTATTGTTTCTTCTCTGGAATTCCCCTGTTGTCTGAGCGTTGCTCTTTATTTTCTGTCCTAATTCTAGAGGGTTTTTTTTAAATACTGGTAGCCATATTTTGTTCATTTTCATGTTTTTTTCCTTTCTGTTGAAATTGTCCACGTGCTTGTGGATTTCAATGGCTTTTCTGTGTAGTCTGACATGGTGGTTGTGAGAGTGGTCCAGCATTTCTGTGTTCTCATATAATATGCTGTGTCCAAATTGGTTCATCAAGTGTTCTGCTATGGCTGACTTCTCTGTTTGAGTGTATCCATTTTACCGTGTAGATGCAACCTAAGTGATTGGCACATCTTCACCACCTAAAACAATCCCAATAAGAGTAGATCCACTGAATCAAAGAAATTTAGCTATGTGCTGACTCACCAATTAATCCTATATTCAATGGAATTACTCTAGTTGGGGCTTACCAGGTCACAGATTTAAGGCAATGCTTAGGAAATGTTCTCACTGCCATGACCCCTAGTAAATACGGGTATTTAATGATTTACATATTAAAGCCGCCAGCCAGAAAAGCATTGTGTTGCAACCACATCTGTCTTTATAGATGTCTACATGGACATTTAGCCAGCTCATGTTTTCAGTGGTGTTGAACTTGGACTAGGGAGATCAGAGATTATTCAAATCCACACTTATCTATGCAATTCACTGGTGACTTGAGGTGGAGGGGAGAGCAACTAACCCAACATACTTCTGGAGGTGGGATGTAAGCACCCAAGTTTCATCAGGGAGGCTGGCTAGGTCGGTCTGAGGCCCCTTTTACACTCATAAAATCCAGTTTCTGATCCCATATTATCTGCTTTGAACTGGATTATGTGGCAGACTCATATAATCCAGTTCAAATCAGATAATCTGGGATCAGATACTGGATTATATTGTAGCGTATATCCAGCCTGACTGACTGTGAGTGAGAAATTGTTTCAAAATTTCAGAGTATAGTCAATGAGGCAGCAATCCTAAACTGTCCCATAAAGGTGATATGAAGAGATTAATTAAATTTACCAACTCTTTTTTTTTTTCTGGAGACCCAGCATGGTATAGTGGTTTAAATGTAGGACTACAACTTTGTAGTCAGGTTTCTTTGTAAATCAAGTTTCTAATCCCCAGTAAGCCCCCGGTGGAGTAGTGGGTTAAACCGCTGAGCTGCTAAACTTGTTGATCACAAGGTCGCAGGTTCAAATCCGGGGAGTGGCATGAGCTTCTGTTGTCAGCCCCAGCTTCTGCCAACGTAGCAGTTCGAAAGCATGCAAATGTTAGTAGATCAATAGGTACCGCCCTGGCAGAAAGGTAATGGTGCACCATGCAGTCATGCTGGCCACATGATCTTGGAGGTGTCTATGGACAATGCCGGCTCTTCAGCTTAGAAATTGAGATGAGCACCAACCCCCAGAGTTGGACACAACTGGACTTAATGTCAGGGGAAAACCTTTACCTTGACCTTTACCTTCTTGGACCGCAAGAAGATCCAACCAGTCCATACTTCAGGAAATAAAGCCTGACTGCTCATTGGAGGGAAGGATATCAGAGGCAAAGCTGAAGTACTTTGGCCACATCATGAGAAGGCAGGAAAGCTTAGAGAAGACAATGATGCTGGGGAAAATGAAAGGAAAAAGGAAGAGGGTCCGACCAAGGGCAAAATGGATGGATTGTATCCTTGAAGTGACTGGCTTGACCTTGAAGGAGCCGGGGGTGGTGACGGCTGACAGGGAGCTCTGGCATGGGCTGGTCCATGAGGTCATGAAGAGTTGGAAGCAACTGAATGAATAAACAACAGCAAAGCCATGTTCAGAGCAAAGTAAAGGGAAACACCCCCGGTGACTGAACAAATCTTGCAAAGAAAACTCCATTTGTCTTAGCGTCACCATAGTAATGACTTGATGGCAAACAACATTTTTTTCTACCACAGAGGCATATGCCACCCGTTGTTACACCAGTTGTAACTGTAACAACTTTGAGACATTCTGCATCAATGCTTTGTTACTGCAGCAGTCTTGGTTATGGTGCCTTCTACTTGTGTTCCATCCAGACCTCCTCAAGAGCCTGTCATCAGGGCTGTAACTTACATCCAATGTCACACTTGCTAGAACAATGGAAGTTTGTTCTCTTCATTGCATCCCTGCTATAAAACACTTTCTGTGCATGTACAAAGGAGGGGGGCATCTGGGGTGACAGCTAGAAAGTACCTTGTCTCAGTTTCACTGGTAGATTCAGTTGCATTATTAGGAGCCCCCGATGGTGCAGTGGGTTAAACCTTTGTGCTGGCAGGACTGAAGACCAACAGATCGGAGGTTCAAATCTGGGGAGAGCATGGATTAGCTCCCTCTGTCAGCTCCAGCTCCCCATGCAGGGATATGAGAGAAGCCTCCCACAAGGATGGTAAAACATCAAAACACCCAGGCGTCCCCTGGGTAATGTCCTTGCAGATGGCCAATTCTCTCACACCAGAAGCAACTTGCAGTTTCTCAAGTCACTCCTGACATGAAAAAAGTTGCATTGCTTGACAGATTTGCTTGGATCTTGCTTTGTAATTGTATAGAAGTTTGCTGCTTCCCAAGTGGGAAGATGGATGACTTTGGTGCATCTGCATTGCAGAATTAGTGCAGTTTGACAGCACTAACTGTCATGGCTCCCTGCTAAAGAATCTTAGAAGTTGCCATTGGATGAGACATCAGCACTATTTGGCAGAGAAGTCTAAAGCCCTTTTAAAACTACAACTCCCAAGATTCCATAGCATTGAGCCATGGTTAACATGATGTCAAACTGCATTAATCCAACAGGATAAATTCATCCTTTGAAATATTAACCTTTATGACATTTCTGTTTACAACTGCAATTTATCTCTATCATCCAAGGCTAAAGTAAACTACTAACACTCTTTTAAGATGGTCTGTGGAAAGGTTGTAGAGCTATAAAAATATCATTTAGATCCAGCACTTGATTTATTTTATCTAACAGCAGAAATTGAAGGAGAAACTAAGGTATAGTGGTTTGAACATTGGGCTAGTACTTAGGTTTACCCCAGGCAAGTCACATTATCCCAGCCTTGGATGAAGGCAACAGCAAACTTCTTAAAACAGTTTGCCAAAAAAATCCCCCTCCAAACCCACTTATAATGGGGTCCATCGTTCTGAGTTAGCTTGAAGACACAAAATGGCAAAGAGAAAAGGTCTGTTTTAATCAAATAGGATTGTCAAATGACAGCCTTGCTTAAGGTCCCTAGTATTCGTTGGTGCGGTGTCTAATTTGGTCTTCCGA